CTGTGCGAATAGGGAAGTATTTGATTCAGATTCGGATTCAGCCGATTCGGAGGACAGTGATTTGATTCAGTGATTCAAATCACTGTCCCCATTTGATTTGGCTGAATCAGAATTGGAGATTCAGCGCTGATTCGGATCAGCCAGGGAGAGGCAGGAACAGCTGGGCTGCTGCAGATTTTCCACGGCTCCTCTGGCTCTGCCTGCCTCTCCCTGGATTGGGGGAGCCATGGGACAAACCCTCAAGGTTGTCCTGCCCGGCCGCATCCCCCCACCTGGCCCCAGCCTAGTCGCGGCACTTAAAAAACCCCCCAAAAAACGCCCCGCACTCCCTGGCTGTAGCAGGGGCTGTGGGGCCTCCTGACAGAGGCCCCCCGTGCAGCCCCCACCCAGCCCCAGCAGTCTGGGAAAAAAAAAGGCCCAAGCTCCCCCCCACCCTCCAAAAAAAATAGCCCACACTCACTGGCAGCAGTCACAGCTGTGGGAGCTCTGGGGCCACATGGCAGAACCTTTCTGCACAGCCCCTGCTCCCCAATTTCCACCCCACCCTGAGCCCCACCTCCAGCATCCTGGCAAAAAAAAAAAAAAGCCCCGCACTCACTGGCTCTGACAGCGGCGATCAGGGCCTCTGGGCACTTGTGGTAGAGCCCTCCCCATGCAGCACAGGGCAATGAGAGGCAGCAGGGATTGCCCCCCTGCTGGCACCCACGTGGCAGCTGCCCCATGGTGCAGGTGCAGTGCATTGATTGTGGACTGGGGGCTGTGTGGGGGGGCTCTGCCAGGAGGCTCCAGAGCCCCCACAGCCCCTGCTACATCCAGTGAGTGTGGGACTTTTTTTCTTTTTCTTTTTTTTAAGTGCCGGGACTAGGCTGGGGCTGGCTGGACAGGGCAGTCATGGGGCCTTCTCCCATGGCTCCCCCTGCCTGGGGAGAGGCAGGCACAGCCGGAGGAGCTGCAGGAGAACCTGTAACCACCTGGCTGTGCCTGCCTCTCCCCAGCTGATCCAGATCTCCGAATCTCTCCAAATCGATTTGGAGGCTTTGGATTAGATTTGGACCTTTTAATGGGTCTCCTGATTCAATTCGGATTCAGAGATTTGGCTGCAAAAATAGGGCCAAATCTCCTCTGAACTGAATCGGTGACTGAAGCGTTGTACAAGCCTACAGGGTAGCACCTGAGGGCACTTGTACACAGGCTCCAGGGGAGCAGCATCTTATGTTTGAGTGTCCCCATACTTAAAAATGGTGGTGAGGGCACTTGAACTAAAGCTCGTTTGAAAAGCTTTAGTTCAAGCACCCCTGCAACCATTTTTAAGTGCAGGGATGCTGAAACACAAGATGTAGGAGACTGCTGGAGCATGGTAATTACCATACTTCAATAAACTCATTTAATCTAACAGGAATACAACACAAGGAGAGTATTTACTTGAATAATTCCAACCAGGTCAAGAAATATTGGTAATCATGATACCTTTTTCTGAACATATCAGATGTCACTGTTTAAGTATCTGGACTTGAACTTCCCAAAATACTTTGTTTAAGTATCCAAATTGAACTTCCCAAAATATTTTGTAATTCACCTCTCACCACTTTAACCAAGGGATGGTTCACTGATTCTTTGTCACCCATCTGGAGGATCACCAAAATGTGCCTGTTTGTAGTTAACTTGATTCTATAAATCAAGGTACTGCTCATGTAATTTAGTTTACCAGAGGTATACTTAAGGGCAAGGTGTAGGTATCCCTATTAGAGAGAAAAATTAAGTATTCCTCTGCCATGCAATATTTCCTTCCTCTTCCCCCTTCTCCCCAACTCTGTTCCAACAAAGCTAGACACTGATAAGCCAGTTCTTGACCACACCACAGTCAGCTCTGAGAAATCAGCATTAGTTTAACGTGCAAGTTGTGCATTTAGCACCAACTGATGGGGCAGAACTAAATTTTGGAGTGAAATTGTAGACACACTTGCATAGTAAAATATGTGGAAATTAGATTTACTAAAATGTGCAGAAAGAAAGGAAGGTTTTGGGGATAAGGTTAGAATAAGATGCCCCAAAACAAGAGAGCTGGAAAAACATATTTTGGAACCAAGATAAAACATGCTTGATGCAGTACAAACAACATCTACTGTAACATTCAGTTATAACGTGCACCTGAATGAAATACCACTGTAAAAGCCAAGTGAGTGATGCATATTTCTAGTCTATGCCACTAAAGGGGTACTATTACCTCTTGAAAAAAAGAGCTCTGCAAAGTAAGCTGTGACACCAACACACTGTTTATCAAGGACACGCAGCAGTCAGGAGGTTTGCATCACCATATTTTTCCTCATAGTTTTAGCTTCAACCATTAGACTTAGTTATATTTAGCAAACACTCTTCTAAACCACTTCTTTAAAACATGCATAATACAGCTAAAATGGCATTCCATGAACTTTTTTTTTTTTTTTTTTTTTT